GAGGAGAGGCTGCGGTGGTTCTTGGAGGTGTGTGACGATGACATGGCTGGTAAAGGAGAGGGAGAGGGAGGGCATTTCCGACAAATTACACTCATAGTCAACACTCACTAAAAATGAGCAAAAGTCAAACCGGGAACTTAAAATCCGGACGGAGAGAGTAATATACTTATTGAAAAGGCAAACACAGCTTCAGATTTTATTGATTTTAGTTCTAATCGGCTTCGGATCTAATCGGTTTCAGGTTTTATCGATTTCGGGTATTATCAGTTTCAGATCAAATTGGTTCCGGGTTTAATCGGTTTAGATATGATCGATTTCAGACTTAAATCGGATATGAACTTTTTAGTTTGATTTCGATTCAGTTCAGATCATTTCGGGTTTTCGGTTATAGATCAGATCTTCATTTTTCAATTAATGTCAGAAATCAAGGTCAGTGAACTTCCCGTAATGACAATATCATCAAGATACACACAGACGATGACTTTTCTCGAGATAAATGAAGAGCGGACAAACTAGTATCATGAGTACAACAACAAAAACCAAGACCCTACAAAAAAAAGATGGGTGTGTGTACCACACGCGTGGGGCCTGTTTGAGGCCATACAAGGACTTCTGCAACTTGCAACCATAATGTGTTCATTCTGGATTAATTTAATCTAGCAGTTATTCATAATGATTTCTTTGTCTACAATGACATGTATAAAAACATACATTACAAATTAAACATCTAGTTAATGAAGTGGCCAACCATGATGAAGAGCCAAGAAGATAACAAAGCGTACCATTTTTTGTTTGACAATAGGGCTGCAGATCTCTTTGTAATCAATGTCATATTCTTGATGGTAAACTTTGGCCACAAGACGAGCCTTGTACCGCGATACAGATCCATTCACGTTCCATTTAAGGCGATATACCCACTTACAACCAATCATATTGAGTCCAACTTCTGGTGGTGGTACCAAATCCCAAGTACGCTATTCATTCAAAGCTATAAATTTATCATCTATATCCTGACACCAAAAACTATTCTTGAAGGCTTGGTTATAGGTGCTAGGCTCGGTAGTGTGAGGGGTATTATCAAGTATGATGGTGGAATATGTTATGGGTTTGAATATGTCTACTTTGGCACGGGTTTGTATAGGTTGTGTGTTAGTGGTGGTATTTGGTGTTAAGTTATGGGTTGAGAAGGATTCAGGTGCACTGCCTGTAGAGATTCAGGTGGCTGGCAGTTGGATGGTCAACCGGGAGCGGGGGTAGTCTCAGGGTGCACTTCCTGTAGAGATTCAAAGGAAGTTGTGACGAACGGTCAACCATGAGCAGGGGTACTGTCAAGGGGATAAACCGTCTTTAGGGGTTCTGTGAGGGGTTGTCGGGATGTTCGACTGTAATCTGGAAAACAGTCAATGTATTGGACCGTCCGGGGCATAGTTTGTGTTAATGGTACTTGAGCATGTGAGCTTGGACGGGTTGGAAAAATGGGTGAGATATGGGAAGATGACGGAATGCATGAGAGCTTATGGAAACTGGTCCTCGATGCACCGAACATGAAGAGAGACACAGTTCTTTTGAGACACAGAATCTTCACTTATATATATACCTGCGATGGTGAGATAATACCCAAGGAAGACACACAGTGTGGAACGAGGCTACATTTTTTGTTGAGTGCATGTGAGGTCAAAGTCATGTGTAGACAAGATAGCCAAAGGGACGCAAATGTGTATACTCAAGAGTATGATTGTAAAGGACCTTAAAAGGTTATTTTCATGACAAATTCTTAGTCGGAATATGATTAATAAGATAGTTAGTAGTTACAAGAGCATCAACCTAGAAGGAAGTGGGCAGACTATAGTCGTAGTTAGGGGTGAGCATAGTACCGTATGGGTATTTAGCTCGCATTGATACCGTACCAAATATTTTGGTTGGGTATGCGATTTTGCATCATACCGATCCTGATCTTGAAATTTTGGTTTAGTATAATTTGGAACGGTTCGGTATATATCAGTTTCAGTAGAAATTGGTATTAATACATACACACCTAATTTAAACTTTAAAATGTCACAAAACCTTTAGTAAATCAAAACTGTATTTAGATAAACACAAAAAAAACTAAAAAATTAAAATTTAAATGTAAGAAATGCTTATGAAACTTGGTTTATATTTTACAAACTAAAGTTAATGGATGATAATAAAATGATATTTTAAAAGTGTGTTAATATTGTTATACGGATTTCAAAAATAACAATATGAACACAAAAAACACGAAAATAGATTTACGTGGTTCACCAATATTATGTTGCCTACGTACGTCCACGAGAAGAGAGGGGGGGGGAGGCAGTTTTATTATGGAGAGGCAAGAACAGAATGTAGCTTAGGGTTTGTGATAGCACTTATATATATAGTGTTAGGCTACACCCTAACTCGCTTGGGCCCAAAATACAGCTTAGGCGAGACCCTGTTCTCTGTAACGGGTCAGATTCAAGGCATTACAACAAATATCTTTAAATTTAACTACAAAAAAATTAAACTCAAATAAAAGTGCAATGTGCAAATAAAAAATGAACCAATTTTAAAAATAAACTTATTATATATTGCAAAATTTAAAGAAATTGTTATATTTATAACATATTAGTATATATATTCGGTTCGGGATTTTCGGTATGGGAAGTTACCTCGTATCATTCCCAAATAACGAATCGAACATTCAGTTTGGTATGATTCAGTAATTTAGCGGTATCTTTTCAGTTTGATATTTTTCAGTTCGGTTTTCTTATTTTTTTTGGAAATTTTCGGTATCGGTTTGGTACTTGCTCACCCCTAGTCGTAGAGAAGCGAATTGACTGTCTCAATGAAATGTCGATGTTTACGTGTTGCGACAATATTCTTCCAAGGGGTGTAGGAATACATCGTGTGATGGAGAATGCCTAAATGTTGGATAAAAGGCCAAAGGTAGCTAGTATTCACAAATTTTTTCCCGTTGCGAGTTCAAGAAATATGAATATTATAGTTTAATTGAGTTTTAATCATTTTTTTGAAAACTAATAAAAACAAAGTAAGCTTCTAATTTATGTTTTAGTGGATAAATCCATGCAAATTTGCTAAAACCGTCAAAGGATGATATGTAATACCGAAAACTACTTATGGAAGTAACAAAGGTTGGACCCCAAAGATCACAATGTAGTAAACTAAATGGCGCATTGGTCTTGTGTTCAAACAACTCAAAGGGTAAACAATTAGAACTGGAGATAGAACGTGATTCACAATGTAATAGTTCGGAGAATTTAAAACATAATAAAGACAAGATATATTTGGCAATCGCAGGAGATATATATATGACCAAGTCTACGATGCAAGGTATAGTAGACGTGTAACAACATGACATACAACTAATGGTGGCTTGGAAGAGAGGATGTTTAGTCCATGCTCATAGTAATGCACTTTAGATTTGGACAAAAAAAGGAAAATGAGAAATAGAAATGAAATACTAGGTAGAATAGAAAAATAGAAAATGGAAATGAAGAAAAGAAAAGAGAGAAAATGTAATCTTGAAATAATTGTTGGTGATTTTAGTGACTAGACATTAAATAATAATAACTATTGAAACGAGTATAGAAAGTGTGGAATACACGCTCGTTCAATCATATTATTATTTGGAACAAAATAGATGATCTATTCAAATAGGTTAGTGTGAGCAGTGATGACCTATATGAACAAGTCTTTACCTATTGGAATAGGTCAGAAGCTTATATGCAGACATAATGGAATAGGTGTTTGTCTAATGCAATAGGTCATGATTTGAGATGCTGACCTAATTCAATAGGTGCTGACCTATTCAAATAGGTCACCGAAGAGACGCGTCTGGTCCTTCAAAAACGGTCTCCTAGCTATTCGAATAGGAAGTATGCTAATCGAATAGGTACTGAACAGACATGATTTTTGAGTTTAAAAAACATGTTCGATCAGTGTTTTGCCTATAAGTAGCTATGCCTAGCATAAGTCAAAGTGACTATAGTCCTTTAACGTTTACGTCTTATCCGGTTTTATCCAAAATAACTTTGATCTGAAAGTAATTCTTTCATGATTCGTAATCCTATCAAGTACCGACCTCTTTCGTTGCTCAAACCTACACCGATCCTCTAACAGAAATGTGTTGATAATGTTATATTCCTCAACGTCCAAAAATTTAGAATTTATTTAGATATTATTATTTCATTAAATTTTAATTAATTGATTTGAAATATGTTAGGAAAAGGAAACAATAATATTATGGAAGAATATTATAGGAAACATGTCCTGGGCCACAACCATAAGCTTGAGCTTTTGGTTGAGTTGGTTCTTTGACATAGTATCAGAGCTTTGTTGACTAAGAGGTCACGGGTTCAAAACTCATCGCCACATAGTTTTAAAAAAATTAAGTTTTCAAGTGCGAGGCTCGAAAAAAGACTATGCTTGCACGTGAGGGGGCGTGTTGAATATAAGAAACACACTACAAAAAACTGCTGAAATGGCGACGGAATTATTCCGTCGCCAAACCCTTATTTCCGTAGGTAATCTCCATAACGACGGAAATAACGACGGAATGTGTTCCGTCGTTAACTTTTTGTTAGTAGTAAATGTAACGACGGATTATTGATTCCGTCGCTAGTCTACGACGGAATTGGCGATGGAATTAAGCGACGGAACTCACGACGGAAAATTTCCGTCGCTAATTCTGACGACGGAAATAGCGACGGAATATTCATTTTGACCATATAGCGACGGAAATGCAATTCCGTCGCCAATTTTGTCGCCAATTTGACAGGTTGTACCAGGAAGCTGCTGTTTTTTCAATTTTGCACACATCCATAGCAAAGCTCAGAAATCCCAGCATCAAACAACAACAATTACTGGAAATGAAGATTACCAAACAACCAAGAATATTCAAGTCACCAATGTACAACTAAATTTCAAGTAATATTTATAAAAATTCAACATAACAATCAAATCTAACTCCACTTACATAACCATAAAACTTAAGTTTAATATATTGTTCTTCAATTCTAATATAACACTCAACAAGCTCCTGCAAATCCCGCCCCTCCTCCATCTCCACCGCCATCTCCATTTCCATGTGGGAAAACTCCTCCATAAAGTCGGGTCATCTCTTCTCTAATCGACAATAATTCACGAGCTTGGGAAGCCCTAATTTCATCTAGCTCTTCTCTCAACCTCCGAATCTCATCATCTCGAGAGTCCCACATAGAGCTGGTGCTAGCACGTCTTGCCTCACT